CTGAAATCATATGTATACCCATTAGTCAGTGCTTCCTAAATGTACATTTCTCATTCTCCATATCCTCTCTTTGCATACTTGAAGTATTAATACAAAACCATTAGTCAATATTTCTTCTTACATGTAACGACCCTAAATTTTCACATACTCAGAGTCGCTACTAACGTCTCATGCTCATCTATAATGCGGAAATATAACTCTTACATGAACATAATTGATAACGTAAATTTCAAAAAACGTTTAAAACAACTTCTTCTCTGGAAAACACAGCCATGGTCTTACGTGTTTAAATATGAAATACTGAAATTTAGAGAAAACAAAAACAAATACAAAATAATTTAAAACAATGAAATGCAAAATAACCTATTCTAACTTAAGACTAGAAATTTAAATATGAATCTACCCTATGCACGTGCCACAGTCTCTGCTCGCGATGCCGCCGTCCTCCGTACAAGTGCGCCTTGCCTTTACCTGAAAAATGATGTGGCACACGGCCTGAGTATTTCAAAGAATACTCAGTAAGTGGCCCCACTATAGGGGCCATGCTAATGCAAACACATGCAATCATGATTTTGGGACCTATCTCTAATAATCTTAGGGGTGGCCTCCATTCTCGGACAAATTGGATGTGTAGTACTCCCTACACACGACTCACACGTGCGAGTGTGAATCCCCAGGGCGCTCGCACACCCCCTGGACCCTCTGGTCAAGCTAATCTGTAGCGACGTCCGGAGGTCAGCGGAACCCCATAGTGTCATGCACCTCATGAACACCCTCATCTGTGTGCTTTCGCACCTGTGCGCATTCGCGCTCATCGTACGGTGCGCGTCCACACTCATCATCTCTAGGGGAAGTAGCCCTATGCTTATGAACATACAATATGCATGAGGTCCCTCTAAATCCATCGTAATGTCTCTTTTGACACAACCCTCTAGTCTCATCTCTTTGTTACTCTAGGTAACACATACTCGTGGATATTTATATTAATATCATTTTCACGCTCTTAGGGTTGTGTCCTATGTCGATCTAACGACATGATGCAATATGGCACTCATCATCATATAGCATGCTCAATATGGAAAACATCATCATATTAAGGTAAACGTCACGCAATCATCATACTCATCATATTGCCACAAAGTGCATCAAACATATCAAGTACGTCAATCATCGAAATACATATATATTACGCATATCATCAAGCATCATAACTCACACATCATCATAACTCATATACCGCATCGTACGACATAGTTTATACATCATCATAACTCATACAATTTTTTAGCCTATCCTATAGTAAGACCACTTATCTGGTTGGCCTTAGCCGAAGTATTCCCTAATTTAATTAACGTAAGCTCCCGTTCCTCGAGAGCTGCTCCAAAGATTGCTAAGGTTTGATTCTTATCGCATCGTTCGTCACCTTTTGTTAGTATTTCACATTTTAATTAATAATCCAACTAACA